TTTTTTAATGCAACCAAATTTACAAAGTTATTTCAAACTTTCTCAGGTGAGACTCTCAGGACATTCCTCTCAGGATTCTTCCATGCACACAGGATGCATATAGGAAAAATCAAGAAATTTGTTTCCAAGTGAGCACACTCTTTGTCTGTTTGACTATTCTCCAGCACTCCTTCACCTCTAAATTAAAAAAAGATGCCAATTAAACCATTGTCTCACTGCAACAGATACATTCTTACCTCGTCGGAAGAGAGGTCCAATCTCCCCAAACAAAGAGAGCCTCTCATGGATCACATCATAGACTGGCTGGCAAAGGCTCCAGAGGAAAAGCTGAGGAAGATTCCCGACATGCTAACAGCTTCAGATCTTAACTCCATGGCAGAAAAACTAAAGAAGAGACTCCATGAGATTAAGCAGCAGAACCCAAACTGCAGCTTAACAATAGATGAAGTAAACAGTGCTCTCTAGTCTGCAGTTTGTTACACATTTATAAAAACTGTATACCTGTTTTACAAAGGTATGTGATAAAGCAGAATGTTCTTTGTATCCTTTGTCATTTTATAACTATAAATGTACTCTATAAACTTGAGGTTCCATTGCTAAAGCTACTGTTTGTATATGCTGTACTTAACTTCAGATGGTATAGTTTCTGGGAATCAGAGATTTGGTGGTGGAAAGAGGAAGTTCAGGAAAGTATTTGAAGGAAGAGGTTTGCAAAGATTAAGATTATGAAAGCAGACAGGAGTACTGAGAGACTACGCATGAAGGAGAAGAGGACTGAAGAGATTGGGCTGGAAATGATTTGCAGCAGGTTTTGGTGGTTAAGGATAAATATATGATAAGAAGTGAAGAGTATGTTGCAAATGAGAGAGAACAGATGAAATAAAGACAGTGATTTAGGAAGTGCAAGTAAGGAGGAAGTATGGGCAGCTATGAAGAGTCTAACCGTGACCAGTCAGCCTTCCAAAAACTGTTAACTACATGTAACTTATGATTTAGCAAGGGTGGAAGAAATCAGAAAGAGGACAAATACTTTTTTACAGCACTCTACCTGATTCTCCAAATTGTTTGACACAATCTCAAAAAGCTGAAATATTCAAATTTCAACTATAGTTTACAGTTTACTAAAAAAAATGTGCTGCAAAACTTCTCTTTTCGTACATATATATATATATATGTGTGTGTGTGTGTGTGTGGTGTGTGTGGAATCCAACATAGTGCAACCACTACAACAACCTGTACTGTCATCGAGCTACCACATGGGGTCGCCCCCTCTCCATTTATATTAGTGTTGGAAAAACCACTTCCTACAAATTAAATCTTTATTTCAAACAATAAAATGTAGCCTGCCACTCTTGACGTGTGCTATAGCTTTTTTTCCTCAAAAGATTCTAACAACTATCAAACAAAGCTTTAATATATTTTTAATGTACTTCCAAGCGATATATATACATAATCTTTAAAGCTAATGAAGCTGTGCGCTTTAGCTACTTCTGCATCGGGAGTCTTGTGTGTCAGATGTTAAACATAGGGATTGGCACCGCTAGAGGTCCCAGTTTCCCAGGAGCTGGTGCTGTAGTCTCATTAATATCGGTCTGACACCACCAGCGCCTCCTGCCACGCCATGCCGGTGTTCTGGGAATCGCATCGGCTCCCAGGCTGTCGCATCACCGACCGGGGAGGGGCCCCGTTTCCCACCATTGGCTAGCAGCCTACTGTAGCCCATTACCGACAGCTTTACGGTAGAGTGTGTGTGTGAGAGCGTGTAAGCGGTGGTCTTTTTTTAAATCTCGGCCAGGCGCTCAGGCTGCAGGGTTTCAGCATGATTTTAAAAGGACTCTAGCTGATTTTCCCTCCCTAGCATCAGCCTTTAAACCTCACCACTCTCCAAACTGAAAAGGGATGCGCCTAAACACAAGCGGATACATTGTCCGGACACTACGAGAGAAGAGGAGCATGTAACCGGGAGAATCCCAGCAGCAGCAGCGGCGGCGGAGGAACCACCTGACTCTTTCCTCTTTTTCTTTTTTCCTCGTAATTTAAGGCTTCTCGATGCGCTGAGCCAGTTCTTATCGTTGTTTTGGATATTATCTTCAGCAAAATGAGCGAGGAAGTGTCGGAGGTCCCAAAAGAGCTTCTGGGTAAGATACAAAAGCGGATTTGTGGCTGTGTGTCCAGGCTGGAACAATCACCGATACCCTCTCTCTCATCCTCCCAACTCACAGCGTGCATGTGCTCCGCATGGTAACAAGTTTTAGTGATAGTATTGTAACCATAAAATCTATTGTGTTTATAATGCAGCCACACTTGGAATGCAGTGCTAAGGCACAAATATCCAACCACAGTATAAAAATATGTATACAGGGTTATTTCTTTTCTTTTAAATTCATTCATTTTAATATCATAGCAATACTAAACCGATTTCTCCCTAAAGCAGACTGCTGTTATTAAGAGACTGCAAATTCTTTAGCTCCAGTTAAGCTTGGAGGTGTTTATACGCGGAGCACTGCCACAAGGTGCTTGTTCTGTTAATGTTTACATGGGAGAAGAGCCAGATAGTTGAGATGTGTGTGGTCAGCCTGTCAGTCCTCTGCACATAATTTTAACTCCACTTTAACTCTGGTCCACTTTAGCATCTCTAGCCTTCTTGGTAGCTGCTCTACTCTAACCCTTGTTTTCATGATCCCCTTTCCTCATTTGTGTTGAGTCTGGAAACCCATTGGCTCAGGGTTTCTGTTTAAGAAAGTAGTTCAGGTTTTGACATCCAGGTGTAATGTTGGATGAACTTCATCATTCATCTCAAGCAGGGTTCATTTTCTCATTGCCAGACACAGGAGTAGTGGAGAATGTCAAGGAGGCTTTTAGGAAAATGCTGTCAGGTTAGCCGTGTATCATTTATACTATAGATCCCTAACACAGTTTTTACATGTTATTTTCTGTGTACCCTGGGCTCCAGTTAGGACAGAAGCCAGAAAGAGTAATTTTACATTGCAGGAATTTCAGTGGAACTCTTGCATACTTGACCTTTTCACTAATTTGAGCCATTTTGTTTACATTTTCCCTGAACTGTTAAACATATATGTCTTTAACAGAGACTGGGAACCACTTTTAAATACAGTTTTTGCAGGTTTTTACAGTGTTTGGGTTTGTTATAGACGGTATTTTTCCTCCTCTTCCTAATGGGAAATTTCCCTGATGTTTGCTGACTAATTCACCCAACTCTGCACACTAAATATAAGGAATCTGTCTGCGTCTGGGTATAACCAGCCATTGTTTGTTGGTGGTGATGATTCAGTATCATGCAGCATTACTCTTGGCATCCTGCAAGGAGTTTCAGCATGATGCTGCAGATGGAAAAGTGTTGCATGAAGTCAGACTGTTCTCTGCTGAGTAACAGGACATGTCAAGTGCTTGTGCTCATGTTTTCCGTTTAACTTACTTGGTAGTGAGCAGATTAGGTCAGGACCGGGAAAACACTTTGAGTTTCAGCCTTTTGAGGATGGAATATTGAAGTGGACATATTCAGAATAAGCGAGCTCGTGCTCAAAATGTATTTTACTGAAACATGCTCAGACACATTCAAAGTTAGGGCAACAGTTACTCGTCTGATTACACACCTAAAGTAACCAGACAGGCAAGGCTGCGTCAGCAAGGAGAGTTAGGAAACAGAAGGAGAAAGTTTACAGCGCAATGCTGATGCTGGTAGTAAACTTGACCTTCATCTCTATGATCTGTTTGGAGAGTGAGTTAAATATTTAAAATTTAAATTTTTTTAAAATTTTCTTTCCATAAAATTGCTTCATGTTACTATTTTCTCACACACCGAAGTTTGAACATTTAGAAGAGAGGAAAAACAATTTTGCTCACTTTTGAAGCAAACTGGCTCTAAAATGACTTAAATGATTATTTGTCTCTATATTGATATATGATGTCTTCTTAATTCTTTATAGATGAAACAGTACAGTGATGGAAATCTCAGGAGGGATTTTTCCCACTCCTCTTCACAGAAACTTTAAGTCCTTTAGGTTTCTTGGCTGCTTCTTGTTAACTACAAGCTCCAGCGCTCTTCAAAGATTTTCTATAGGACTGAGATCTGGAGACTGGCCAGGCCACTCGAGCATCTTAGTATTTATCTTCTTTAGCCAATCCTTTGTTTCTTTAGTGATATGTTTTGGGTCATTGTCATGCTGGACACCCATCTGTTACCCCACTTCAGTGTTTTGGCTAAGGGAAGGAGGACCTTTTTTAAGATTTTACAGTACACGGCCCTGTCAATTGGCCCCTCAATGCTGTGAAGTCGTTGTGCACCCTTAGCAGAAAAGCAGCCTGAAAGCATGTTTTCACCTCCATGCTAGACTGTGGGGATGATGTTCTTTGAGCCATACACAAGGAATCTGCCTGTACACATGCCTTCTTGAGCAGGGGGACCTTGTAGGCTCTGAAAAATTTCAATCCATTACTTTGTTGTGTGTTACTAATGGTGTTCTTGGTAATTGCAGCCCCACCTGCAGTCAGATTATTAACAAGCTCCTCCCATGTAGTTTTGGTCCGATTCACCACCAGCATTTGATCAAATAATTATTTCCCCTACTGTGTCATGAGTGTATTTATTAGTAGCTTTGTGAAGCAACAAATCAGATTTGACACTAAGTTAATAAATTAGCCAACTAATTTATGGAGCTCTCAGTAGTTTGTTTACGCTTTTGCAATGACATAGGTGTCTCATTTCCCCACCACCTCCAGTTTAAACTGATGTGACCTATAGCGCACATGCTCTACCTACCAAATGCAAACACAGTTGCCTTGTGAAATAAGCAATCCTGTCACAGCTACATTAAATTGGCAGAAAAAAAAAAAGACATCCGAGTCCGACACGAGTGATTTGAGACCAAAATCTGCCCAGACCCATTAAAAAAATACAAGGCCTACCTTTGTGGCCTTTTGAGAGTCGCAGAGATTTTTCTGTGACTCTCAGGTCTCTGCACTGAGGTTGCAAAAGTGCTGCAGCAGGAAATGGTGCACACTTGCAGTGAAGTTTATTTAGGAAGCTCAAGGCTGGCAGATGAACCGTTTTGCACCGTACCTAATTATTACTTTTCCTTTGATCTTATGGTGTGAGGAAGCCCGTAGGTGAGGATATGCGCAGCACAGATGTACATGCAAAATCCCCGTCTGTGTCAGACGCATGTGCGCAGACTGCATTTGTGACTGTGTGTTAGGTGAATTAACGTGGAGAGGGGGCTGACCCAATTCTCCTGTTTGAGCCTGTTCGCTGGTTGTTGACACTTCTGCTGGGTGTGAATAATCAGTCTGTAACGGGAAACATATACTCGGCATTAAGCCTCTGTGGGCCTGTGTTCAAACGGGTATGGATATACTCACATGCATAATTGAAATAATTAAAATTATTATATTATAAATGATCTTTTTTCTTTTCTTTTCTTTTCTTTTTATGTGTTAGAAAGTGGGCGTTAAACGTCTCAGTCGTCAGAAGAGGGATTCATGATCTGATAATTAAATGAAAACTAGAATAAAGTTAATATTCTGTTATATTAAAATGGAACTTAAATATTTCATCTTTTTTTTTCCCTAATCAGTAGATATGATGGATTTTTCCCCTGTGGCAGATGTACACTGATCTTTCTCTGCTGCGTAAGCAAAGTTGGAAAGAGACTACAAATTAAAAAGAATATACATTAAAAGCCGCCTTCTCTTCTCTTCTCTTCTCTTCTCTTCTCTTCTCTTCTCTTCTCTTCTCTTCTCTTCTCTTCTCTTCTCTTCTCTTGTTTTAGGGAATTACAATTTCTTTAACAGCATTTTCCCAAATTTTCTCACTTTAGTCTGTGTCACTCCTTATTTATTTGACTCCTTGTTTGACATCTTCTCTCCTCCTCTGTGTAGAGAGCGTGAGGGATGCGGTGGGAAGAAAAGTGAAGCTGTCACTGCGGAAGAGAGTCAAACTGGAGATCAAAGGAGACAAGATGGAGAACAGAGTATTGGTGAGTCAACTC